TTATAGACACAGATATTAAAAAAGCAGACTGGCAGCAAGGGGTTTCCAAAGCTGCAGAGAGGGCCAACAATTATACTTCAGATTCCCAGTTCTTGCTTTGTTTGTTGTGTTAGGTAAATGGATTATAATCAGTTGCTTATGAGTGCCTTTGGGCTAATCTAAGAATGGTTAGAAAAGGTTCTGACCCTGAGATTAAAAGATTAGATTAAAAGAGGTACATTTTGAGTTCAAATAACTCAAAAGCAACCAACTGGGAGAAGAAATGTTAGGAGGAAATATAACTTGCTTCCCGACGTTTACCAAGTTGGCTTCTCATTCGTTCATTCAAGTGTATTTAGCATGGCTTTAGATTGTGTTCAAAGGTATTTAAGATATTTTTCCCTGTTTCAATCTAGTTGTATGGACAAGATAAAAACAATGGAAAATGTAAAGTGGCAGTTTAAGACTTGAAGAATTTTGGAACACATCTGTCATAGGGCTGCAAGTCAATAAAAAGGCAAAAGATGACCAGTGAGTAAGAGGAAGATGCAAATCTTGAGAAGAAAAATGAGTGTCAAGGAAAAATTTGTACAAGAGCTTGCCCGAGTGTCAGGTTAGCTACTAAACCAACATGCTTGTTTTCATGGCTGTGGTGACCACATGCACTCTCAGAGAATGTCATGAGCTGTTTTCTATTGTGAGTGTATATTTTTAACCACCAGAGCTACTATCACTCTTCACACCATTTTAGTCAGTTATTTTCCCATTCATTTATGGTAAACCAGGTATCATGTTAAATTCCAAGTGTTCTCCATGTATTAACTCATTTGACCCTCCTAATAACCTGATAACATAGATATTATCCCCATGATTACAGGCATGGGTACATACCTTAAGCCCTATCCCCAGGAAGGTAGATCATATTTGGCAGAACTAGGATAGGAGAATAAGCAGTCTGGTGCAGAAACTCTTTTAATCCCCACATCAGAATACATCTTTTGTGCCTGAAATAATGAGTGACATAGCAGTAATGGGTGGCTAGATGAACACATGCATGTAAAATAAATTTTATAATTCTGAATTTTCTGGAAAAGTATCTGAATATTAAAGTAAGCATTATTGGAACAACTCCAGAAACAGTCATTGACTCAGAAGGATGTGCAACACAGAGGTCCCCATGAAACAGGTTTAGTCACACCTCTATTTCCTCCTATAGCTACTGCTAACATTTTAGCATAGATGGCTCTCTATCAAACCTTTTTAAAAAGCAGAAACCCTCTTTGCCCTATACTGAATGTCTGTGCACCCCCAACCTAACCCCAAGGCCATGGCATTTGGGAGTGGAGTCTTTGGAAGGTGATTAGGTCATGAGGGTAGAGATCTCATAAGTGGGACTAATGCCCTTTAAAAAAGGACAGAAAAAGCTCCTTTGATTCTTCTACCACATGAGGACACAGTGAGAAGACAGCCACTCATGAGCTAGGAAGCAAGCCTTGACCAAGTCCTGAACTGCCAGTACCTTGATCTTGGATTTACTGGCCTTTAGTTCTGAGAAATAATTTCAGTTGTTTATAGCCCACCATGTCGTGGTATTTTGTTATAACACCTGAATAGACTAAGATACCTTCAATTGTACCTAAGTATGTGAAGAGAAATCTGATAGATACAAATGGAGGAAAGTTTACTAGAGGTAGAGGAAGGACCAATTCCCAGAGATGGAGTCCCTTAAATGTTACATGTTTGTGGCATTTATATCTTACATGTTATAAAGTAACTGTCACTTAAGGATTTAGTTTTTTTCCTTCATGGCTTAGGAAGCTAAGCAATATTCATACTGAAGGCAGTGCTTCAAAGCCCTCAATTAGATGGTAGCATATGTTTACCATCAACACTGATCTATCTAGTTACATGCCCCAAGAAATCTAGTCACATGCCCTAAGGGCTCTGGCCAAAAATAAATGTTTCGGCTTGTCTTCTGAATATACATTGTTCATCTACTGATGTGTTCATTTCCTAGTTTATGTGTGCATGCATTCATTCAACAAACTTCCCCTTCATTTGTGATTCTTATTTGCCATGGCTGGCAGTGAGTAGTACGCCAGTACTGAGCTGGATCAGCACCAGCCAGGACCTCTTGGAGTTTACAGTTTAGTGGTGTCAATATATACACGTGTCTTTTATGTACATGTTATATGTTATTCTTAGGCATTTAATTACTGAGTCCTGTTTCCTCATCTGTCTGATGGGGTTAAAAACTGGCCTTGCCTTTTTCACACAATGAAATGAGATTTAATATAGATGAGATCCCCCTTTTTAAATGTGCAAGCGTAACCCAGAAATAGAATGTTCTTATTTGGCCAGCTAACAGAGATGAATAATGTTGGCAACTGGACCAGTTGTCTGTTTCATGGAATTTAGGAGGTGCCTGATGTGGTACAAGAAGCCTGGTTTTTCAGAAACTAATGTTTTGAATTCAGACATCACCATGTACTAGCTGTGTCTCCTTGGGCAAGTTTTGTAACCTCCCTGAACTCAACTTCCTGATCTCTGCGACTGATCATACCTGCCTTACAATGTACTTTGGAAAACCAGAGAAAGTTTGTAAATATTCTGACACAGTCTTAAATAAATGCTGGCAATTAGGTTCAATATCTTTAGTTATTCAGAAATCAAGTATCAGGACTCTTGTTTTCCTAAGAGTCCTCCTCCTTCCCCTCCCTCCCCTCCCCACCCCTGCATCCACTGGCTGTGCAGTCACAAGCTGGAGTGTGACTTGCCAATTAGCATTCCATGCTCCATCAGCAACCTTCCTTATTTCATCAATGAAAACCAAGGTCTCTCTTCCTATTCCCTCAGGGTCTTATTTACACTCTGGGTGCCACATCCTGATGTTACCATCCCAGGGATAAATCTACAGTTCATTTGTTGAACATTGAGTATGTGCCAGGTGTTTTATCCCTAAAAAATTCCTCCCCCCAAAATATCATTTCCATTTTATAGACATGTGGGATATTATCCTAATTCCACACTGTTGGAAGTGGTAAAACTGGAATCCAAACTCTCACTTCTGAATGTAACACCTAGAAACCCCCTATGGACAAGGTAAGTCCAAGTTGTAAAGAAACACAACCTTAGATGCAGCACTAAACAAGCTAATCGCTAGAGATCATATTTGAAGAAATGCATGGCTTTTCTAGAAAAAAAATCATAAAATTACTGATTAACTGTATTTATTAAGGGCCAACAACATGCCTGGACTGTCCTAGATGCTCAGCATACCAAGATGGATAAGCATCATCTTGCCCAAAGGAGCTCTTGTAACTGGGGGAGGAGAAATGCAGATGAACAGTCTGGTGACTGTGACATAATTAATTTAGCCTGTTTAGGGGATGAGATAGGGCACATTTCACGTGTAGGTTTTGGTGGAAAGTGTTCATAGACGGAGAAAAGAAGAGTGGTGCATTGAAGAGAGGTGTCAAGGTGGCAAAGGTGTGAAAGCACAGGATATATGTGAAGTCACATGACTTGAGAGAATAGCATACCTATAGGGAAGAGTGAAAGAGGAGGCTGAGGAAGCACGTTAAAGTGAGGAAAGATGATAGAAAGCTCTTTGATGCTATGATAAAACATTTGGTCTTGAGTCTATAATCAGTAAAGTGCTATAAAAACATCTTTGTTTCGGATCTATGTTTAAAAATAATAATTGTGTAAGTATCATATAACCACATCATGTTGTTATGGTTTCTAAGATACCAAAGATCAAATTGTGCCTCTTGTCTTGGATGTGCTATAGGTAAGACCTTGGTACAGTCTAATCTGCATGAACAATGGGAATGGGTCCTGGATCGTGCCCTGGTGTTAACATACTCTGATTATAGAAAATAAGTCCTCAAGGACCCATAAAGAAAATGAATGAATTCTTGAGGACCTTATACTAACTTTATCTGCAGTGTCAAAGTTGAACGGTTCATTAAAGCAGTTCCAGAAAGAAAACAAAGCCCCATTTGCAATAAGACTCCAAATTATCTATTCATTGCCAGTTCTCCTTTCTATCGTTGAGTTCTATTTTAAGCTGTCACTTTCCTAAGTCAGATGCTAAAGTTTTAGGAGTTGAACATCAGTAGCTTTGGCGTGGCTTGGAGTCATCCTCAATCCAGCAATGGAACTAAAATGAAAATAGAATTACCAAAAGGGCAGATGCAGTATCTTATATCACTTTTATTATATTATATTTTAGCAGCTGAGACAGGAGGGAGAACATTATAGAATCAGCCTGCTGCAGTCTCGCCTATAATTATATTTTTCCTTGATAAGGCATTGGCAAAGAGCCCACCAAAATATTGATGTGAAACTTGATCTCCCCGGGCTGTGGAATTTCTCCAGCCCTGGGATTGAGAGTGAGAGGTTTTGGAAGTGTTTGGCAGCTGTAGTAAATTCAGGAGCTGGAGGCAAGGAACAATTCCTCTAGCATAAGCCCAAAGTCAATATATTATATAACTATAGAAGGCACACTCCTCATTGTACTTTCATACTCTTGAATGGATCTTGTCCAGCCCATGTATCTTACATAGATGTAAATATAAACTTTACATAACATTTGGGAAAAAGGGCAGGATTCCTATAAAGGTTTCATGGTTTTATATTTAGAGATGAGTATGTTATATATAAATGGAGATGCTGACTTCAAAGTTTTCCAAAACTAAGTGGCAGTAAAAACTTTTCTGTGTGCTCCATGCTATCACATATTTAGAGTTTTTCTCTCTCTTGTAATCTTTTTTTTAAGCACCAGTCCAATTTTTGTTTTTCAAAATATTTACTAAAATTTGGCCATATAGCATGAATAGATTTAGTTGAGGACAAACAATAGACAGTTATAAAGTCATTTAAATTTGGAACATATACAGCTATTTCCATAGGTATAACTGAGTGTAGAATGCCCGGCCTATGGACTACCCAAGATTGGTGTCACGGTACCAGGATGTTGCTGGCCGAATGAAAAGAGCACTTAGGAATCAGACATACCTGGATGTAAAAATCCCAACTGGCACTTTTGAGCTGCATGAGCTTAGTGAACATCTGAGTCTCTTTCATCATCTGTAAGCATGTGAGGAATAATGAAGATTATGTAAATGAAGCACCCAACCATAGCTGCCACCTAGTAGGAGCAATTTTCCCCCAATTTTCTTTTCTTTTTCCCACCTCAGAATGTAACCATTTTTGCAGGAGTGGCCAGAAAGCTAGAAAATTTACATCACAAATTATCTAACCATTAAAAGATAGGGTTACCAAGGTTTTAAAAATGTTCTCAGGTGTTATTTTTTTTTAAATGTTGCCATTTATTTATACCAAACCACTTTTGCAAAAATGGTATAAGATAGCTTTCCAAATATCATAAATGCAGTAAGCTTGGTTAAATAAAAGTTAAAAGATTAAAAAAAAAAAACCCAGAGAAACAGGGACAAAAATACTGTAACCTAGCTGCTGTAACTGAGTACGATATTCAGGCAGGAGAGTTCTCAAAGAATTATTGTTACATGTAATTTCCATTATAAGGAAAAGGAAAAGGGAAGGATAACAATCCATAAGAAGAGACAGATTTTGCCTGGTGTTCAATTCTTGGGGAGGCGGAAGAAAGTTCTCATTTAGGTGATTTCATTGATACTCTTTCAAGGTACTGTTGATTTTGATATGATAGATGGTCTGGCAGGTCCTGAATTAGAGTCCCTCCAACTAAGAATCAACTAGCTTCACAACCAATCCAGGGAAGACACTATGGCTGAGTGGAGATTTCCTAGGTTTTGAAATGAAATCAACCTGGGTTCAAACCCAAATCAACACCTCATACTACCTGTAAAACCTTGGGCATATTTGCTTATTCTCACAAATCATGTTTAAAAAAGTAAATGATGATACCTACACCTTACAGAGTTAGTGAGCAATTGATGAAGTAAAATATGTAGATAGGGAGGGAATTAGACCTGACTGATTGGCATGTGGTCCCAGGAGTGTCAATGTGCTCATTTTCTAGGCACAATACAAATTCACACTGTACATTCCTGACCTAAGTTCCATGCATTCTTCTGTTGGAGATCCATTAACAGATGATTTTCAGCTATGAACTCCACAGCAGTGCCGTGCACATGCACACAAAAAAACTTTTACCAAAAAATTATTTATATTCTGAATTGTTTTAAATACTTCTGTTTCCACTTTCCTTCTGAAGTTATATCCTACATTGTTGGCTAGATTACAAATATGAAGTTCTCAGTTCTAATAGTGGTGATTTTCCCGTCAATATTTTGTTTGTTTGCTTTTTAAACATTTAATGCACTTAAAAATAATTTTCTAAATAAACCAGTTCATCTAATTTCTGCCATTTCTTTCCAAATTTATGGCAGGCAGAATCATCTTCTACAAGAATCTGTTATCAACTTAGGTCACAAAACTGGAACTTGGGAAAACAGAAATAAAATAGAGTAAACATTTCTCTCTCCTTTTATTTAAAGCTATTGCTTCCATTATAAAAAAAATGTAAAGAATGACTATAATCAAAGGAGACAGATTTTTCCTGTTATTTAATTCTTGAGAGAGAGAAGTTCTTATTTGGGTAATTTTCTAATTGTACCCTTCTCAGGTACTTTATTTGGAATACTTTTTATTCTTCTTTTAAGCAAGAGAGATCCTCATGCATATAACTGTAACTATGTTAATAATTTAGACCTCTTGATAATCTTAAGATTGAAACACATGATGAAAGTATGTTGGTATCTCTGTAATGACAGTGAAAATCAGAGGAATGATAACAGACCTTGGCTAAAGATATCTCCCTCCTCTCTTGGGGAGGAGCTCCAATTCTAATAGAAAAGAGGCAACATATTTACATACTGTTCTTTGCATTAAATATACCCTTCAATTTGTTGCATTAAGACAGGCTACCATAGCAGAGTGAATATGTTCTAAGCAACTATTCAATTCAGTTATCCCTAAAATATTTTTATATTTACCAATAGCCAACCTCCTAACATTGATTGTTTCCAAACTGGGAAAGCAATCATTCTAATCTTATATGGGAATCTATACAGAGGTGTTTTGTGGATTTGGTTATTGTGTTAATCAGGTTTTTGTCATACTGACCAAAATGCCAGACATAAACAACTTAAAGGATAAAGGCTTTATTTTGTTTCATGGTTTTACAGTTTTCAGCCCATTGTTGGCTAGGTCCAAGGCAGAACATCATGGTGGAAGGGCAGGGAAGAGGAAAACTGCCCAGCACATGAAAATTAAAAAGGAGAGAGAGTGTGTCTGTCCGTCTGTCTGTTTGGGAGGATACAAACCTTTCCATGGTATGCTCACAGTGCCCTACTTCCTCCAGTTATGTCCCACATCCTAGTAATCCATCAATGAATTAATCCATTAATGAGGTTGGAGCCCTCAGGATCCAATCACTTTCCAAAAGCCCCGCCCCTGAACACCTGAGACTTTGGAGGACATTTCAGATCCAAGCTATAATAGTTTTTAAAACCAATTTTCTGAGGACAGAAAACCCCATAATAACTGAGTAAAGATTCTAGATACCTCATATGCAGTCCACATTCTAGAAGCCTCATTTCAAGACAGTGTTACTATTCACTGTCCCCATTAGATAACCTAAATATTTTCTCACTTTAAAACCAGGTGTTCTAAAAGTAAATCTTCAAAAATGAAAATATAAACTGTGCCATACTATGTGAAGAGGAATTCAAAATACAGTCATCCTTTGGTATCCATGGAAGATAGGATCAAGACCTCCATGGATATCAAAATCCCAGATGCTCAAGTACATATAAAATGTCATAGTATTTGCAAATAAATTATGCAATCCTCCCATTTACTTTAAATCATCTCTAGATTACTTATAATACTTATTACAATATAAAGTCTATACAGTTATACCATATTATTTCAGGAATAATGATCAAAAATCTACATGTCCAGTATAGACACATCTAAAAAACATTGCTTTCTGTGGTTTATTGAATGAGTGAGTAAATGTGGAGACTGTGGAAATGGAAGGCCAGTTGTATGTTAGTCTGTTCAGATTTGAAAGTATTTGGAAGTTGCCATATTTTTTGAAAAAATAATTATTTTTAGCATCTCTAGACTTTCATAGCACAACAGGACCGTTGAAGATTTGAAACTTTGCTAACTGAAGTTGAGAGGTTACAGAAATATTTCCATAAGATACCATTCTCGTCCCTGATTTTTAAAGGAAGAGGTTTATTCTTTGGTCTTATGAGCAAGACTAATTAACCTAGCATTAATGGAAAGGGCTCTACCTGGGCTATGTGCTGGGAGCCCTGACAGTATGTGGGTGGGCAAGCCTGGCCTGGTTTTGGGGATGGGTGAAGATGGAGGAAGCAGGAAGAAAGATTCTTCAGGATCCAAAGGACCAAGTAGGAAATCCAGATGCCTTATAGATTACTTACACTATGGATGCATGGTGCAACCAGTGTTTAAATGTGTTCAGGATACTCCTATTGCTTGTTTTTTAAAAATCCATCCTTTCTCTATTTTACATCTTCTATTCTGTGCTCCTTCTCTTTCTTCCATATTCAAACGTCTTCAGGGTTATGCTCACTTACTGATGTGACTCCCCTACTTCCTATCAGTCAGCATCCCTTTGCAAACTGGATTTCCCACCTCCCATAGTGCTAAAATCCTCTCAGCAAGACCAGCATGACCCTCCTGTTGGTAAATCCAGAGCAGGAGTCAGCACTGGTGTTTCTCATCTCCTCTCCACATTGTTGATCCTTTCCTCCTTGATGTCTGTAGTGACCTTGGTAGACCAACAAGCAAATGAGAAGGTTTAGACTTTCCAACATCACCAATTCTTTGAATTTATTCTTCCTTTCTCACCTTGTTTTGAGGTACCTTTTCTTTTTCTCATTTCTAAAATGCCTGAGTTTCCTAGATTATGTCCTAGACTACTTACTCTTCCCACTATATAATTTCCCTGAGTCAATATTCTCAAGGATTTCATCTGTGTACTTATTATTTCCTGAATCTATGACTTTAACCCAGGTACTTAACCTGAATTACAAATCTAAACATATATCCACTCTCTCTCAGTTCTATGTAGACTCTAGACTCAGCATATCCCGAGCTGAACTCACAATCTTCTCTTACATTTTGAACTCTCTTCCTCTTCCTGTGGTTCCTATAACCCAAGTAATCAACAAGCTCTCTCAAGTCTACGTACTTATCTTTTCAGTCTGTTTCCAGTTTGTTCTTTAGAACACTGCTGTCATTGCCCAAGACAAGACCCTCATCATCAGTGGCATACTACTACTGTCTCCAAGCCAGTCTGCTGTACTTAGGACTTGTTCCAAAATTGTACCCAGGATGATCTGTCTGAAATATAACATTGGTAATTCTAGACCCCATGTAAAATACTTTAGCAGCTCCAGATTTTCCTTTAGTTTAAACCCAATTCTCTATATAATTTGCAAAACTCTTCCTAAGCTGCGCCCTGCTCATCTCCCCACTTTTATTCTCAGTATTCCTCTGTCAATTCCATGGTCTAGACATAAAGAAAAGTTTTCTGTCCTTGAAACTTACATGCTATTTCTTTTGTCTGAGTTTTTGCTTATGTTGTGTGTGAACATGAATAATTTATAACACTTAATAAATAATTAAATAATGTGAACTGAATAACACCTTACATTTCGTTCATTACTTTAGAAATCAAGACAGTTAAATGTATCACTTAACTCTATAACCCTAAAAATTATGAGTTTGCATAGCGTCATTCTGTTGTTCAATAGACCTTACGGATAAATATTTCCCACTGTTCGTGTAGACATAGAATGGAGGAAGGAGAGAGAGAGAGAAGAGGAGAAAGACGGACTAAGTGTGTATAAAAAGCAAAGTATTATGTTGAAATGTTTTTAAAAAATGAAATGTACTAAGTGTCTCTCTTAAAAAAGTTTACTCTTGGTTGATGTAATTGTTGTTTGGTTGATATTTATTGGGCATAATAAACTCTATGATTCTATGTTTTTCTCTGTACTGAACTCTTTAGTGTAGAAGATATATTAAGTAACCACATAACGAAT